AATCGACGAAGAGGAGGCGGTCTCCAAGTACCTCCACTCCGTGCCGGCAAAGTACATCCAGATCGCTCTCTCAATAGAGACGATGCTGGACTTGTCCACCCTCACCATTGAGGATGTGACAGGCCGTCTGCGGGCTGTGGACGAGCGTCTGGAGATGGCGACAGCAACGAAGGATAGCGGCAAACTGCTGCTGACGGAAGAGGAGTGGGCTGCTCGGAGGAACTCCGGGAAGGCAGCCTCCTCCAGCCGCGGTGGCGATGGCAAGCGCCGCGGCAAGGCTTCTTCGGAGAAGAAGAAGCAAGTCGACCCCAACGCCTGTCGGCGCTGAGGGAAGATGGGCCATTGGGCACGGGAGTGCCCAAACCGCAAGCAGGAGAAGAATGCGGAAGCTCATCTGGCGCAAGCTGATGCTGAGGCCACTATCCTGATGGCGACGTTTTGTGCACTGCACGACGTCGAGGCCGAGGAGAAGGAAGAGGCGACGACGGTGGAAGGCTTGGGAAGGCCCTGAAGACTGTCAACCTCGACAAACCACGCGCCCAATTCCATCTCGGACGTGTGGGCGCCGACCGGGAGCAGCGGTGGTATCTGGACTCCGGTGCCAGCAACCACATGACGGGCTCCAAGGCATCCTTCTTCGAGCTCGACGACGATGTTACCGGTACGGTGAAGTTTGGTGACGGCTCAAGTGTGGCTATCCAAGGGCGCGACACCATCATCTTCAGGTGCCAGAACGGGGAGCACCGCGCGCTAACGGATGTATATTACATCCCGCAGCTGCGTTCCAACATCATCAGTATTGGTCAGCTGGATGAGTGCGGTAGCGAGGTACTGATCAAGGACGGAGTCCTTAGGATCAGGGACCGGGAGCAGCGACTTCTCGCCAAGGTGAAGAGGTCCCTGAACCGGTTGTACCTGCTCGACCTGAAGGTAGAACAGCCAGTGTGCCTGGCGGCAAGGCACTCCGAGGAACATTGGATGTGGCATGCCTGGTTCGGACATCTCAGCTTCGACGCGCTTGGTCGGCTGGAGAAGATGGTCCGAGGGCTACCCCACATCAAACATGGAGGCGAGATGCGTGACAGCTACCTGGTCGGGAAGCAAAGGAGGCTACCTTTCCCAAAGGCAGCCAAGTATCGCGCGAAGGACGCTCTCGAGCTCGTCCATGGCGACCTCTGCGGGCCGATCACGCCAGCTACAAACGGTGGTCGGCGGTACTTCCTCCTGCTCGTGGATGATTGCAGTCGCTACATGTGACTGCAACTCCTAACGAGCAAGCACGAAGCGGCGGCGGCGATCAAGAAGTTCAAGACATGCGCGGAGGCCGAGAGCGGCAAGAAGCTCCGTGTGTGAGGACTGATCGCGGCGACGAATTCACTTCGGTGGAGTTCGCTGCTTACTGCGCGGATCAGGGTGTGGTGCGACACCACACTGCGCCGTACTCGCCACAACAGAATGGCGTGGTGGAGCGACGGAACCAGACGGTGGTCGGCATGGCCCGATCCATGATGAAGGCCAAAGGCATGTCGGCAAGGTTCTGGGGGAGGCGGTGACCACGGCGGTGTTCATCCTCAACCGCGCTCCGACCAAGGCCCTGACGGGCAAAACGCCGTTCGAAGCTTGGTATGGGCGCAAGCCGAGTGTGTCCTTCCTCCGGACATTCGACTGCATCGGCCACGTCAGGAAGACGAAGCTGAACCTCACCAAGCTAGAGGACAGGAGCACACCGATGGTGTTCCTGGGCTACGCGGAGGGTACCAAGGCATACCGGTTCTACGACCCACGAAGAGACAATGTGCTTGTCTCGCGCGACGTCGTGTTCGACGAGGCGACGGCTTGGGACTGGAGCAGTCCGAGCACGGGGGAAGCTGGCGGCTTCACCAGCACCTTCGTCCTCGAACACTTGGTCATCCACAGTGGTGGAGACGCTGGAGAAGAGGTGCCGAGCACTCCAGCGGTAGAGCCGAGCACTCCTGGGGCAGTGCCGAGCACTTTGGGAGGAGTGTCGAGCAGTCCTGGAGGGATGTCGAGCACGCTAGGAGTGGTGCCGGGAGGTTCTGCAGTGGTGGCGACCACTCCAGGACGGGTGCCGAGCACTCCAGTGGCGGAGCCAAGACGTCTTGCAGTGGTGCCGACCACTCCAAGACTGAGGCTGGGCACTCCTACAGTGGGGCCAAACACTGCAGGAGTTATGACGAGCTGTCCAGAAGTAGTGCCGAGCACTGCAACCAGGGTGCCGAGCACTCCGGCGGAACAGGGAACTCCATCAACGCTGATCGAGTTCGCCTCACCTCCAAGTGACATCACTGAATTCGTGGATGCCTTCCACGAAGGTGAGGAGGTGCGGTTCCGCAGGCTAGACGACATCGTCGGCCGCACACAGACCCTCGGGATCGTGATTCTGCTGCTCAATGACGCAGAAGCCGCTTCGTCGATCTGAAGAGAACCACCCACGTTCGCTACCGGCCGAAGCGGGACGAAATCGGGCGGACGAACGATGCTGGAGGAGATGAAGGCGATCGAGGAAAACAAGACATGGCAGCTCGTCGATCCACCTCCAGGATGTCGTCCCATCAGCCTGAAGTGGGTGTACAAAGTCAAGCGGGACGAGCTCGACGCTATTGTCAAGCACAAGGCGCGCCTCGTCGCTGAGGCTTTGTTCAGCGCGAGGGCATAGACTTCGACGAGGTCTTTGCGCCAGTAGCACACATGGAGTCCGTCCGTTTGCTACTTGCTTTGGCAGCAGCAAAGGACTGGCGCGTCCATTACTTGGACGTCAAATCGGTCTTCCTCATTGGCGAGCTGGCGGAGATGGTCTTCGTCAGGCAACCTCCAGGTTTCGCCATCAAGGGGGAGGAGCACAGGGTGCTCCGACTGTGCAAGGCGCTCTACGGGCTGTGGCAGGCCCCACGAGCATGGAACGTCAAGCTTGACGCCACGCTGGGCGAGCTTGGGTTTCAGCGGTGCGCAACCGAGCACGAGCTTTACACACGGCGACGGGGGAAGGAGGAGCTCGTCGTCGGCGTGTATGTGGATGACTTAATCATCACTAGCGAGCGCACGGAGGATATCAACAGCTTCAAGCGCGAGATGGCGGCTCGTTTTCGAATGAGTGATCTCGGCGCACTCTCCTACTACCTCGGCATCGAGGTGAGACAGGAAAAGGAGGAACTCACGCTCGGTCCGAGCGCGTATGCCTCCAAGCTGTTGGAGAGAAGCGGCACGGCTGAGTGCAAGCCATGCGTGACTCCGATGGAGGAGCGGCTGAAGCTGACGAAGGCCAGCACCGCGGCGAAGGTGGATGCAACACTCTACTGAAGCATCGTCGGCGGTCTGCGCTACCTAGTTCACACGAGCCCGGACATTGCGTTCGCCATGTGCTACGTCAGCCGCTTCACGGGGATCCCAGAGAGGATCACTGGGCTGCGGTGAAGCGACTACTGCGCTACGTCAAAGGGACGGTAGATCATAGGATCATCTTCCCAAAGACCGGCGGGAGTAGGCTGCAGCTCACTGTGTTCAGCAATGCAGATATGGCGGGGGACATCGACGGGCGACGGAGCACCTCTGGCGTGCTCGTCTTCCTCGGGTCGGCCCCAATTGCGTGGTGTCGCTGAAAACAGAAGGTGGTGGCGCTATCTACGTGCGAGGCAGAGTACGTAGCGGCAGCCACAGCGGCGTGCCAAGTTGTGTGTGTGCGCCGCATTTCTTTGGGCGGCGAAGCCGACCGGCGTGGAAGCTCACCCACCAGCACTGATGGTGGACAACCAGCCCGCCATCGCCCTCGCGAAGAATCCGGTTCTACATGACCAGAGCAAACACATCGACGTGAAGTTCCACTTCCTCAGGGACTGTGTCGATGGAGGTCTGATCGTCATCGAGTTCGTCGAAACTGATCGGCAACTCACGGACGTCATCACTAAGTCGCTCGGACGTCTTCGAGTCAAGGAGCTGAAGGAGATGATCGGCATGGAGGGGGTACAAGGGATAGCAGTAGGATTAGGGAAAGAATTGTTAGATAATCTACTGCTACCTTATGTGAACACAGCAAGGGAAGGCGGCGCCGAAAAGGCCCCTCGTTGTGATATCAGAGTCAGCGCAGTGCAGTGCGCCGCGCCAAGACGGCTCACTGCGACATCAGAGACACATGCAGGGCGGCGCAGAGTCAGATCTCAGATGTTATCTAGTTACTATTACAGCATGTGCGCTGTACTAGAACTAGATGGATAGAGTTGTATAAATAGACTACCACGGCAACTCAGTAAAGAGAGTTCAGATTTGCCATCTTCCATACAGGGCTTCGGCCAACGCTGGTGTTTTGTACTGTGTGTGCATGCTCTGTTCTCCCTTCTTCTTCTAGCTCTAGCCATAGTGTGTGGGACGGACAACGCTTGTTCGTGGTCGGCACAGCTAGTGGGTGCTCGGCAACACTAGCGGGTGCTCGGCAAGACTGGTGAGTGGTTCACTCACCTGAGCCGGTAATCTTGTGGGCCAACAATATATAATTTCTACTTTGAGAAATGCTTATGATTCAAGGAATGCATACACATATACTTTTGTCTAGTGGTACATATCCATTCTGATTTCTGCTGAATGTTCTCATGCGCACTTTCTGATAAAGGAAATTCATTTGTTACCAGGGGTTCTGATTCTGATCCCCATTAGTGAAACTATGATAATCCAATTTTAAATTCATCTCTGATAACAAGATTCAAAAAACACAAGTTGTATTTTTCCCTGACATGTAGAATGAATTTGACATTGAATTTCTGCAGGTTTATTTATTTTAATGTGTGCTAAATACATGATTTTTTTTTTAGATTTTTGAAACATTACAACATGTTGTGTTTGTTAGTGGGGCCGCTAGAACCCCGGAATACATAATTCGCTCTCTTCAAACAAAAACTAGTAAATATTGAAAAACTCCTTAAAAGGGTAAGTTAAAATGTACTGGTTCAGCTGTTTGATCACATTTTTCTAACAAGTGCACTTTCTGACAGATTTCAAACCTACAGTGCGTAGCGCTGCACAGAAGAATAGTAGTAACAAAATCGGTATAGTTGTTGGAGTTGTGATTGGTGCAGCAGTTTTGGTACTAGTAGCACTTGCTGGACTTTGTATGTGGAGGCAGAAAAGGAGGAAACTAGCATTGGAGCAACAAGGTACATGATATGCCATAATCAAGTATCGCAATGTATTCTTAAATCTTAACCAAGATAAGGGGCATATTTCTAAAGTTGTCTTTTGGCTATGTTTGTAGAGCTGTACAGTATTGTTGGAAGACCTAACGTACTCAGTTATGGTGAACTAAGGACCGCTACTGAAAATTTCAGTTCAAATAACCTTCTTGGCGAAGGGGGATACGGATCAGTTTATAAGGTTAGTCCATCAGAAGTACACAAGGATATGAATTTGCCATCAAATTTCCTTCTAAAAGTAGCTTTTCTAAGTTGCACAAAGCTAAAGGATGTTCCCATTTGTGTGTTTTGTTATGGAAAATCAGCTGGCTTTGTTAGTTCAACAGTATTTTGGATTGTGTGAACTCCTTTAATTTATTTTCACTAATATAATATCAACATATACACACCAGTGGGGTCATACCCCACTTCTTTCCTTCTTTTTCTATTGTTTTCCAGTTTAATTTCTAGTTTCTGCACATGGTTGATAAAATGGCATCTTTTTGCAGGGTAAATTAACCGATGGAAGGGTGGTGGCTGTAAAACAGCTATCTGAATCATCTCATCAGGGAAAAAAGGAATTTGCAACTGAAATAGAAACTATTTCTCGAGTGCAACACAGGAATCTCGTTAAGTTGTATGGTTGCTGCCTTGAGGGCAATAAACCGCTGTTGGTTTATGAGTACCTGGAGAATGGAAGCCTTGATAAAGCACTGTTTGGTACGAGTTCATTCAATTAGTGCAACTATGAATGTGTGTATTTGCGTGTGCGTGTGTGTGTGTGGGGGGGGGGGTTCACATTTGTTATATGGACATTAAAAAATAAACACTTATTTTCAGGTAGTGGGAGACTGAACTTGGACTGGCAAACACGCTTTGAGATATGCTTGGGCATTGCAAGAGGTCTTGCTTACCTCCATGAAGAGTCTGCCATCCGTGTCGTGCATCGGGACATAAAGGCTAGTAATGTCTTACTTGACACCAATCTTAACCCTAAGATCTCCGATTTTGGGCTCGCCAAACTTTATGATGACAAGAAGACACATGTCAGCACAAAAGTTGCTGGTACATTGTAAGTACATTTCCATCTTTCCCCCTTTATGTTAGTATTTTTCACATGTGAGCTAATATAAAACTTCTTGTAAATATTCTGTGAAGTGGTTATCTTGCACCTGAGTATGCCATGAGAGGTCATATGACGGAGAAAGTTGATGTGTTTGCATTTGGTGTGGTTGTTTTGGAGACTTTAGCTGGAAGGCCAAACTTTGACAATACACTTGATGAAGATAAGGTTTATATTTTAGAATGGGTAAGTTCACTCTGAACTCTAAACTTGAGGCAAGGCATTGTTGCACTCTAGTTTCCGTACTATTTGTAAAATCGTCTGTAAAGTTTATGCTAGGAATTTATAATGGCTGGCAGCAGTAGGGGTACTAGGATCTAGTTAGCTCCTTACTTGCTTCATGTTGCTTCAGTTATTTTTGTTTTTCGTATAATCGCTTTCAAATGTCAAAACCGTGTGTGTTAGCCCACAGGATCACCGGCTCAGGTGAGTCGACCACTAACCAGTCTTGCCGACCACGGCCGAGCACGACCGAGGCTGTCCGACCACACACACTATGGCTCGAGGTAGAAGAAGAGGGAGAACAGAGCATACACACACAGTACAAGCACTAGCGTTGGCTGGAGCCCTGTATAGAAGATGGCAAATCTGAACTCTCTTTACTGAGTTGCAGTGGTAACCTATTTATACAACTCTATCCATCTCGTCCTAGTACAGCTGTCCTGCTGCAACAGTGACTAGATAACACAGCAGGACTGACTTCTGCGCCTGTCCCTGCATGTGGCTACAGTGCAGCAGGTGAGCCATTCGGCACCTGCCTCTACAGCGGCTACAGTACCACAGCAAGGGGCCTTTTCGGCGTCGTCTTCCCCTGTCGTGCGTTACAAGGAAGCAGTAGATTATCTAACAATTATTTCCCTAATCCTACTGCTATCCCTTGTACCTCCTCCATGCCGATCATCTCCTTCAGCTCCTTGACTCGAAGACATCCGAGCGGCTTAGTGATGACGTCCGTGAGTTGCCGACCAGTTTCGACAAGCTCGATGACGATCAGACCTCCATCGACACAGTCCCTGAGGAAGTGGAACTTCACGTCGATGTGTTTGTTCTGGTCATGATTCTTCGCGAGGGCGATGGCGGGCTGGTTGTCCTCCATCAGTGCTGGTGGGTGAGCTTCCGCACCGGTCAGCTCGCCCAGCAGCCGGCGCAGCCATACAACTTGGCACGCCACTGTGGCCGCCGCTACATACTCTGCCTCGCACGTAGATAGTGCCACCACCTTCTGTTTCAGCGACAGCCATGAAATTGGAGCCGACCCGAGGAAGACGAGCACACCAGAGGTGCTCCGTCGTCCGTCGATGTCCCCCGTCATGTCTGCATCACTGAACACAGTGAGCTGCAGCCTACTCCCGCCGGTCGTGGGAAAGATGATCCCCTGATCCACCGTCCCTTTGACGTAGCGCAGTAGCCGCTTCACCGTAACCCAGTGATCCTCTCTGGGATCCTCCATGAAACGACTGACGTAGCCAACGGCGAACGCAATGTCCGACCTTGTGTGGACTAGGTAGCGTAGACCGCCGACGATGCTCCGGTAGAGTGTTGCATCCACCTTCGCCGCGGTGCTGGCTTTCGTCAGCTTCAGCCGCTCCTCCATCGGAGTCACGCATGGCTTGCACTCAACCATGCCGCTCCGCTCCAACAGCTTCGAGGCATACACGCTCTAACCGAGCGTGAGTTCCTCCTTCCCCTGTGTCACCTCGATGCCGAGGTAGTAGGAGAGTGCATCGAGATCGCTCATTCGAAAACAAGCCGCCATCTCGCGCTTGAAACCGTTGATGTCCTCCGTGCGTGCGTCGGTGACGATCAAGTCGTCCACATACACGCCGACGACAAGCTCCTCCTTCCCCCGTCGCCGCGTGTAGAGCGCGTGCTCTATTGCGCACCGCTGGAACCCAAGCTCGCCCAGCGTGGCATCAAGCTTGGCGTTCCATGCTCGTGGGGCCTGCCGCAGCCCGTAGAGCGCCTTGCGCAGTCGGAGCACCCTGTGCTCCTCTCCCTTGACGGCGAAACCTGGAGGTTGCCTGACGAAGACCGTCTCCGCCAGCTCGCCGTTGAGGAAGGCCGATTTAACGTCCAAGTGATGGACGTGCCAGTCCTTTGCTGCTGCCAAGGCTAGTAGCAAACGGACAGACTCCATGCACGCTACTGGCGCAAAGACCTCCTCAAAGTCTATGTCCTCGCGCTGAACAAAGCATCGGGCGACAAGACGCGCCTTGTGCTTGACAATGGCGTCGAGCTCGTCCCGCTTGACCTTGTACACCCACTTCAGGCTGATCGGACGGCATCCTGGAGGTGGATCGACGAGCTGCCATGTCTCGTTTTCCTCGATCGCCTTCATCTTCTCTAGCATCGCCCATCGCCAGTTTCCATCGCGCTCCGCCAGCGCAAACGTGGGTGGTTCCTCTGCACTGACGAGCAGCAGCTCTTGGTCATTGAGCAGCCAACCAGCCAGTCCTGAGGGCCCTGTGCCGTCGACGATGTCATCCAGACTGCGGAACCGCACCTCCTCACCTTCGTGGAAGGCATTCACGAACTCAGTGATGTCACTTGGAGGTGAGATGAACTCAATCAATGTTGATGGAGTTCCCTGTTCCGCCGGAATGCTCGGCACAGCACCTGGAGTGCTCGGCACCCCGGTTGTAGTGCTCAGCACCACTCCTGAATAGCTCGTCACTACTCCTGCAGTGCTCGGCACTACTGTAGGAGTGCTCACCCTCAGTCTTGGAGTGGTCGGAACCACTGCAAGACCTCTTGGCTTCGCTACGGGAGTGCTTGGCATCCGTCCTGGAGTGGTCGCCACCACTGCAGAACCTCTCGGCACCACTCCTGGCGTGCTCGGCCCCCCTCCAGGAGTGCTCGACATCTCTCTCGATGTGCTCGGCACCGCCGCTGGAGTGCTCGACTCTGTCGCTGGAGTGCTCGGCACCCCTTTCGGAGTGCTCGGCACCTCTTCCCCAGCGTCTCCACCACCGTGGATGACCAAGTGCTCGACGACGAAGGTACTGGTGAAGCCGCTAGCTTCCCCCGTGCTCGGACTGGTCCAGTCCCAAGCCGCCTTCTCGTCGAACACGACGTCGCGCGAGACAAGCACCTTGTCTCCGCGTGGGTCGTAGAGCCGGTACGCCTTGGTACCTTCCGCGTAGCCTAGGAACACCATCGGTGTGCTCCTGTCCTCCAGCTTGGTGAGGATCGGCTTCGTGTTCCTGACGTGGCCGATGCAGTCGAATGTCCGGAGGAAGGACACGCTCGGCTTGCGCCCATACCAAACTTCGAACGGCGTATTGCCCGTCAGGGCCTTGGTCGGAGCGCGGTTGAGGATGAACAACGTCGTGGTCACCGCGTCACCCCAGAACCTTGCCGGCATACCTTTGGCCTTCATCATGGATCGAGCCATGTCGACCACCGTCTGGTTCCGCCTCTCCACCACGCCATTCTGTTGTGGCGAGTACGGCGCGGTGTGGTGTCGCACCACACCCTGATCCGCGTAGTACGCAACAAACTCCACCGAAGTGAATTCGCCGCCGCGATCAGTCCTCGGCACGCGGAGCTTCTTGCCGCTCTCGGTCTCCGCGCGCATCTTGAACTTCTTGATTGCCGCCGCCGCTTCGTCCTTGCTCGTCAGGAGTTGCAGCCACATGTAGCGACTGCAATCATCCACGAGCAGGAGAAAGTACCGCCAACCACCGTTTGTAGCTGGCGTGATCGGCCCGCAGAGGTCGCCGTGGACGAGCTCGAGAGCGTCCTTCGCGCGATACTTGGCCTCATTTGGGAATGGTAGCCTCCTCTGCTTCTCGGCCAGGCAGCTGTCGCACAGCTCGCCTCCGTGCTTGATGTGGGGTAGCCCTCGGACCATCTTCTCCAGCCGACCAAGCGCGTCGAAGCTGAGATGTCCGAACCGGGCATGCCACATCCACGGTTCCTCGGTGTGCCTTGCCGCCAAGCACACCGGCTGCTCTACCTTTAGGTCGAGCAGGTACAACCGGTTTAGGGATCTCTTCACTTTGGCAATAAGTCGCTGCTCCCGGTCCCTGATCCTAAGAACTCCGTCCTTGATCAGTACCTCGCTACCGCGCTCATCCAGCTGACCAATGCTGATGATGCTAGAACGCAACGGTGGGATATAATATACATCCGTTAGCGCGCAGTGCTCCCCGTTCTGGCACCTGAAGATCATGGTCCCACGCCCTTGGATTGTCACCCGTGAGCCGTCACCAAACTTCACCGTACCGGTAACATCATCGTCGAGTTCGGAGAAGGATGCCTTGGAGCCCGTCATGTGGTTGCTGGCACCAGAGTCCATATACCACCATTGCTCCTGGTCGGCGCCCACACGTCCGAGGTGGATTTGGGCGCGTGGTTCGTCGAGGTTGACAGCCTTCAGGGCCTTCCCGGGTCCTTCCACCGTCGTTGCCTCTTCCTTCTCTTCGGCCTCGACGTCGTGCAGTGCACAAAACATCGCCATCAGAATAGTGGCCTCCTCATCATCATCATCAGCTTGCGCCAGATGAGCCTCGGCCTTCTTCTCCTGCTTGCGATTTGGGCACTCCCGTGCCCAATGACCCATCTTCCCGCAGCGATGGCAGGCGTTGGGGTCGACCTGCTTCTTCTTCCCCGAAAAAGCCTTGCTGCGGCGCTTGTCATCGCCACCGCGACTAGAGGAGGCTACCCCGGAGTTCCTCCGAGCAGCCCACTCCTTCTCTGTCAGCAGCAGTTTGCCACTGTCCTTTGTTGCTGTCGCCTGCTCAAAGCGCTCGTCCACCGCCTGCAGACGGCCTGTCACATCCTCAATTGTGAGGGTAGACAAGTCCAGCATCGTCTGTATGGAGAGAGCGATATGGATATACTTTGCCGGCACGGAGTGGATGTACTTGGAGACCGCCTCCTCTTCGTCGATGGTGACGTCGTGGCTCTTTAGCTTGCTGATGAGCGTCTGCAGGCGGAGGAAGAAGTCCTCCACCGTTTCACCATCCTTGAACTTTAGGTTGGCGTACTCCTGCTTCAGAAGTTGTGTCGTCGCCTTCTTTGCGCGGTCGGAACCGACGCGCATCGCCGCAATAGCCTCCCACGCCTCCTTAGCCGAGCTCTTCCCCCCAACGGCTCCCTGTACTCCGCCGGTATAGCAGCGAGGATAGCCTTCAACGCTGACATGTCATCTTCCTCATTGTCGGTGCCCTTGTCAATAGCATTCCAGAGCCGTCGGGCTCTGAGCTTGACCTTCATGGTCACCGACCACTCTCCATAGTTGGTGCGAGTCAGCGTCGGCCAACTGGTGCCGCTGACCTCCCGCACCGTGCGAACAACGACCTCCGGTCATGGCTGGGCAACCATAGCAGTGCCACTGCTGTCGTCCATCTCCGAACCGTTCGTCATCGCCAGCGGTTAGTCCGGCAATAGCGCTTGTACGGCTCTGATACCAGTTGTTAGCCTACAGGATCACCGGCTCAGGTGAGTCGACCACTAACCAGTCTTGCCGACCACGGCCGAGCACGACTGAGGCTGTCCGACCACACACACTATGGCTCGAGGTAGAAGAAGAGGGAGAACAGAGCATACACACAGTACAAGCACCAGCATTGGCTGGAGCCCTGTATAGGATATGGCAAATCTGAACTCTCTTTACTGAGTTGCAGTGGTAAGCTATTTATACAACTCTATCCATCTAGTCCTAGTACAGCTGTCCTGCTGCAACAGTGACTAGATAACACAGCAGGACTGACTTCTGCGCCTGTCCCTGCATGTGGCTACAGTGCGGCAGGTGAGCTGTTCGGTCTGCCTCTACAGCGGCTATAGTACCACAGCAGGGGGCCTTTTTGGCGCCGCCTTCCCCTGCCGTGTGTTACAAGAAAGCAGTAGATTATCTAACAGTGTGTGTGCCCGGATGACCCGCGTTGTAGCTTTAAACGTTCTATTTTCTTCTTAATATAAAGATACGCAGCTCTCCTGCGTATTCTCGAAAAATATAGTGGAGTTCACAAGCCTTCATTACATCATTGTGTTAGGAAAAAATTGCGTGAAGTTGCTGACCTGTAAACAAAATGCTAGTGCTATGCTTAGGTTTATACACTACTTGAATACAGTAGTGGGCTAAATTTCAGCAAAATTGCTAAACTATAAATAAAGTGCTAATTGTGGTATACTTAGGTTTATATCCTACTTGAATATAGTAGTGTGCTAAATTTCAGCATGCCAGCATGACGGATGTTATTGCAGTACAAGAGGTTGATCACATTTTAATTTCTTTCTTTTGACTAACATGGCAGACATATTATATATCCCAATTAGTGAATTTGCCTGAAGAAGACAAGTTACGTCAACCTGGCAACTTATCGTCTCTATGATTTCAGGTCTGGCAACTGTACGAGGAAAACCACCCACTGGACATGTTAGACCCCAAGCTTGCTGATTTCAACAGTGACGAGGTGCTCCGTGCGATCCACGTGGCCCTGCTCTGCACCCAGGGCTCGCCCCACCAGCGGCCGGCCATGTCCCGGGCTGTGTCGATGCTGACAGGAGACGTGGAGGTTGGTGAGGTTGTGAACAAGCCCAGCTACATCACTGAGTGGCAGATCAAGGGCGGCAACACAAGCAGCTTCATGAGCAGCAATGTCAGCGGGCAGTCGAGCTTGGCACGGAGGACAGCCTCGTCAGACACATCGTCTGCATTCCTGACCTCTGTCATCGAAGGAGGCCGGTGATGACTAGCAAGTTCGGTCAAGCGATCGACGGATTGTTGCTTGTAAATTCACGTTACAAACAGTCTCGGGATTGTCAGCTTTTGCACATATATTGTGTTAGGTGGTGTGTTGTGTCCGATTGTTGCTTCCGTGTAGATTTTCGGCCCGATTTTCTTTTTAGGCAAATTTTTTTGTTAGATTTTGAATCGTATGCAGTCCAATTTTTGTATGCATAATCAAATGTGATGATGTTGGAGGGTCTTGTCTATTTGGATGTGCATATGTGGTTTTCAAGATTTACGGCACGTTAGAATGTTAGATGTAGCAAAATTATTAGTACATTTTTTGTGTGTAAATGCTACATGATATCGTGTTAGGTTATGTGCTGTGCTTGATGGTTGCTTCACGTGGATCTTTTCTGTTCAACTTTTCTTCTTCTTCTTTTTGAGGAAATTTTAGGTGCGATTTTAATGCGTGCATGAAACTGTTCTCGCACTTCGCACTAAAGCTAAGTAGGCAGGCAAAATTTAGAACTACTCGACTATTGTATGTTCATGTCGAAAGCAGGTGACCTTAATTACCACCTTGATCTGGTCTGAATTCCTACAGGTTGTCCATGGCAAACAACTCATTCTGGGAAATGTAGCTCTCACAATCTTGAATGCTTTGAGCTAGATATCTGACTGTCGGCCCGTGCTTAGCTGCTCTAAATCTTTGAAAAATGTATAATGCCAACCACGAGCAAGTCGTCTTCGAGACAGTTGCAGAAATCTATTGTGCATCTAAGAGCAACTCCAAGAGTTCCCCAAAAAATTCTTCCCCAAAACGAGGTATTGGAGGCTATGCTAAATTTTTTCCCCAAAAAACATATCAGCCCTCAGCAGAACGCTAAAAATTAGTCCCCAATATTTCAAAACAGGCCACGTCATCGTATTAGGCCCACCACCGTGACCAGGAGCCCCGTCGAGATATCCTCACGTCATCGGCCTCCTCCTCCATCTCCGTGGAATTTCCAGAGCGAGCACGCCGCCGATCGCGCCACCCACCCACCCATGGGCGGGCACCAGGCGGAGGAGGAGGGCGGTGGCGCGTGCGCCAAGAGGAGGGTGCCGCGAGCTGGCGGACGACGTGCTGCTCCAGATCCTGGGGCGGCTCGAGGGGGACTCACGGGACTGGGCGCGGGCGTTGTGCGCGTCCCCGCGCCTCGCCGCGCTGCTCCGGGCCGGCTGCCTCCCCATCCACGCCCTGGCCGACATCAGGCCCTGACGTCCCCATCCACGCCCTCGCCGACATCAGGCCCTGACGTCCCCATCCACGCCCTCGCCGGCGACTCTGCCGCGGCCGCCTCCGTCGAGGGGCTCGAGGCCACGGCCACGTCCTGCGACCGCACGACAACGACGACGACCACCACCAACTGCTCCTCCATCATTTCCAAATCGCTCGCACCCGAAGCTCGTTCCACCTCCCCGGCTCCGCCCTGACCCATCTTTGACGAGCTCCGACGACCGGACTGCCGGGAATCTCAGTTCCCGCAGCCGCCCGTGCAACCCGCCGCCTGGGGCGGGCGGTCCGCGGCACGGTGCGGGCCGTCCGCGGGCGGTGCGGCGGTGCTCGGCGTGGAGGGGCGGGCGGTGCCGGCGTGGAGGGGTGGGGGTGCGGCGGCGTGGGGCGGGCGATGCCGGCGTGGAGGGGCGGGCGGTGCGGCGGCGCGGGGCGGTGCCGGTGTGCTGGGGCAGCCGGGCTGGGGACGCGCGACCTGCGCGCGCGGGAAGGGGCCGCGCGGGAATCGGGATTGGGGGAGGAACGCGAACGCTAAAATATACACGGTGATAGGCTGTTTTTTAGCGTCGCAAAAAAATTGGGGAAGGTTTAGGGGAACTGTTGGAGTTCTTTTTTTTCCATTTCCCCCCTAAACAAAATATTAGGGGTAAGATTAGCAGTCTTTTGGAGTTGCTATAAGGAAAAAAAAAGATATTCCATATTGAAGCGTCAGGAATAGGTAAAAAAAACATGTAAGGCGTCAACGATTGCAACCGCTCTGACTCTTATAACAGGTTAGGGTGGGTCATCGTGTAATATATCTCCCACCAAACCAAGCTAGAGCAGAGAGGAGAGAGACGAGGTTGAAACCGAGCTCTTGTCTCCATGGCTTCGTGCTCTTGGTGCTACTGCTTTGTCTCTTTGTATCTGCCGGAGCTCAGCAAGCATAGAGGACAAGGACAGATCCAACTGAAGGTATGTCCAGTTTGTTCGCAAAACGGTCAAATCAGTTCAAATTGGAAAGAAGACCCTAGATACTGTTTTGCTAACTAAAAAAAACTGCCTAAAGGGACCAACGCACGAGAGATTTCAATATTTGGATTTCAATTCGCACACCTTTCATTATTTGACACATAATTCATAAGCCCTTCAAAATTTAGCAATGAGATATGTGAATTCTTCGTTTAGTTGTTTCTTCTCCTTTTAGGCCCGAGTAGAAGAAGAAGAGGATAAGGAAGGGGCAAAAATATCCATTCACGTGAGATGGAAAGGAAAAAAAAAGAAAAAACTAAAGAAAAGAAGAAGAAACACCTAAAGCGAAAAAAATAGTATGCATCAGTGTCATATTTCAAAAGACTTGTGAATTAGATGTGAAATAATGAAAAGTGTGTGGATTGAGACCTAATTAAAAGTGGATCTAATCACGCTACGATGTGTGTTGTGCAGCGGCGGCTCTGAACGCGGTGCTCGTCACGCTCGGGCAGACGGCATCGCCGGGATGGAAATGGAACGTCAGCGGCGACCCCTGCTCCAACACAGCTACGAACGACACCAGCATCGTCCACGTCAACCCACCAAACTTTAACCCCAACTTCATGTGTGACTGCACCGACCAGAACAACATCTGCCACATCACCGGGCTGTAAGTCTCTTCGCAACTCACGTCTTGCCGCTCCGCTCATAAGGTGTTCGTCGGATTGCCTGAATGGGACTGGATGTTTGTGTTGAGCTGATAAGTATTTGAATCTTGTCTCCGTAGGACTATAAATGAGTTGAATGCAGTTGGACCCATTCCAGAAGAACTGCGGAACCTCAGGCACTTGACAAATCTGTATGAACTTTCAACTTAATTTCTCGCATAAAATGCCCTGCGATAGTGAGAATACTTGTGGTTCATTGTGGGAATAGGTATTAGCGCACCGTATTATTCCTTAACAGTATTCTGCCATACTTTTTTTTGTAAATTACTTTCCGGTAGTATGAATTATCAAATACTGATACTGATGCCTGATCCAGCCTGATGTTGTTTCAGAAATCTTTGGGGAAATTACTTAACAGGGCCTTTACCATCATTCCTTGGGGAATTGACTGCATTGCAATACTTGTGAGATTTACAACTTTAAACAATACTCCATGACATGTTTTCCTTAATATAAAATTGTTAATTTCTTTCCCTTGAACATACAAGGAGTCTGAGCGTCAACGCGTTATCTGGATCCGTTCCAAAGGAGCTCGGAAACCTTACAAATCTCATGAACTGTAAGGAAGATAATTTTTGTAATTCATGACCCTGTTTCATTAAAGATTCAAGTATTCAACTATATCTCAAACCATTAAACGTTAAATTCTAAATATCATCACTTTTCACTTTTGTGCCCTTGGGTTCATTTAGGTGTATAATTATCAACATTTCAAAAAGTGCTAGGCGCTAGGCAGGTTGTTGGGCTCCGCCTAGCGCCTAGGTGATGACATTTGTACTTTTCAGGTTGCTAGACTAATCCTATGTTTGCTAGAGAAAATTTGTTGCATTATACTACTAGGGAAAATGCCTTCTGTACCGGTTGGGAACGTCTCTTTAATACCGGTTTCGCAACCGGTATTGCTAGTTCGGTACTAAAGAGGGGTTTTTAGTACCGGTTGAAATAGTACTAAAGGGGTATTAAAAAATAAAAAAAATAAAATTCCCCTACCGGCCTCCTGGCCGGCCCTGCCGCCCGCCCGCCCCGCCGCCCTCTGCCCCATGGTGGGCGGCAGAGCTCGGGAGGCCCCCGGCGCCTTGCGGCCCACGCGCCACTGGGAGGCTTGTTGGCCCACAGGATCACCGGCTCAGGTGGGTGAACCATTCTTCAGTCTTGCCAAGCACCCGTTAGTGTTGTCGAGCACCCACTAGCCATGCCGACCACGAACAAGCGTTGTCCGTCCCACACACTATGGCTGGAGCTAGAAGAAGAATGGAGAACAGAGCATGCACACACAATACAAGACACCAGCGTTGGCCGAAGCCCTGTCTGTGAGATGGCAAATCTGAACTCTCTTTACTGAGTTGCCGTGGTAGTCTATTTATACAACTCTATCCATCTAGTCCTAGTACAGCACACATGCTGTAACAGTAACTAGATAACATACAGAGCTGACTCTGCGCCGGCCTCTACATGTGGCTACAGTGCTGCAGGTGAGCCGTGCGGCGCCTGCACCTGCAGCGGCTACAGTATCACAGCAGGGGGCCAGTTCGGCGTCGCCTTCCCTTACTGTGTTCACACAAGGTAGCAGTAGATTATCTAACAATCTTCTCCTATTCCTACTGCTAACCCTTGTATCCCCTCTATGCCGATCATCTCCTTCAGCTCCGTGAGTCGAAGACGTCCGAGCGGCTTGGTGAGGACGTTCGCGAGTTGCCGACCAGTTTCGACGAACTCGATGACGATCTACCTCCATCGACACAGTCCCTGAGGAAGTGGAACTTCACGTCGATGTGTTTGCTCCGGTCGTGCAGAACCAGATTCTTCGCGAGGGTGATGGCGGGCTGGTTGTCCACCATCAGTGCTGGTGGGTGAGCTTCCACGCCGGTCAGCTCGCCTAGCAGCCGGCGTAGCCACACAACTTGGCACGCCGCTGTGGCCGCCGCTACGTACTCTGCCTCGCACGTAGATAGCGCCACCACCTTCTGTTTTAGTGACAACCATGAAATTGGAGCTGACCCGAGGAAGACGAGTACGCCAGAGGTGCTCCGTCGCCCATCAATGTCCCTCGCCATATCTGCATCGCTGAACACAGTGAGCTGCAGCCTACTCCTGCCGGTCTTTGGGAAGATGATCCCATGATCTACCGTCCCCTTGACGTAGCGCAGTAGCCGCTTCACCGCAGCCCAATGATCCTCTCTGGGATCCTCCATGAAGCGACTGACGTAGCCGACGGCGAACGCAATGTCCGGCCTCGTGTGGACTAGGTAGCGCAGACCACCGACGATGCTACGGTAGGGTGTTGCATCCACCTTCGCCGCGGTGCTGGCCTTCATCAGCTTCAGCTGCTTCTCCATCGGAGTCACGCATGGCTTGCACTCAGCCATGCCGCTCCTCTCCAACAGCTTGGAGGCATACGCGCTCTGACCGAGCGTGGGTTCCTCCTTCCCCTGTCTCACCTCGAGGCCGAGGTAGTAGGACAGTGCGCCGAGATCGCTCATTCGAAAACGAGCCGCCATCTCGCGCTTGAAGCCGTTGATGTCCTCCGTGCGCGCGCCGGTGACGAGCAAGTCATCCACATACACGCCGCCGACGAGCTCCTCCTTCCCCCGTCGCCGCGTGTAGAGCGCGTGCTCGGTTGCGCATCGTTGAAACCCAAGCTCGCCCAGCGTGGCGTCAAGCTTGGCGTTCCATGCTCGTGGAGCCTGCCGCAGCACGTAGAGCGCCTTGCGCAGTCGGAGCACCCTGTGTTCCTCTCCCTTGAAGGCGAAACCTGGAGGTTGCCTGACGAAGACCGTCTCCGCCAGCTCGCCGTTGAGGAAGGCCGATTTAACGTCCAAGTGATGGACGCGCCAGTCCTTTACTGCTGCCAAGGCTAGTAGCAAACGGACCGACTCCATGCGCGCTACTGGCGCAAAGACCTCCTCGAAGTCTATACCCTCGCGCTGAACAAAGCCTCGGGCGACGAGGCGCACCTTGTGCTTGACAATGGCGCCGAGCTCGTCCCGCTTGACTTTGTACACCCACTTTAGGCTGATCGGACGGCAACCTGGTTGCAGTGCTAGGCACTTCATCTGGACAGCTCGTCATTATTCCTGCAGTGTTCGGCCACACTGTAGGAGTGCCTAGCCTCAGTCTTGGAGTGGTCGGCACCACTGGAAGACGTTTTGGTTCCGCCACGGGAGTGTCCGGCACCCGTCCTAGAGTGGTCGCCACCACTGCAGAACCTCCCGGCACCACTCCTGGCGTGCTCGGCATCCCTCCAGGAGTGCTCGGCTCTACCGCTGGAGTGCTCGGCACCTCTTCCCCAGCGTCTCCACCACTGTGGATGACCATGTGTTCGACGACGAAGGTGCTGGTGAAGCCGTCAGCTTCCCCCGTGCTCGGACTGCTTCAGTCCCAAGCCGCCTCCTCGTCGAACACGACGTCGCGCGATACAAGCAATTTGTCTCCGTGTGGGTCGTAGAGCCGGTACGTCTTGGTACCCTTCGCATAGCCCAGAAACACCATCGGTGAGCTCCTGTCCTCCAGCTTGGTGAGGTTCGGCTTCGTCTTCCTGACGTGGCCGATGCAGCCGAATGTCCGGAGGAAGGACACGCTCGGCTTGCGCCCATACCAAGCTTCGAATGGCATCTTGCCCGTCAGGGCCTTGGTCGGAGCACGGTTGAGGATGAACACCGCCGTGGTCACCGCCTCCCCCCAGAACCTTGCCGGTTGCCTTTGGCCTTCATCATGGATCGGGCCATGCCGACCATCGTCTGGTTCCGTCGCTCTACCACGCCATTCTGTTGTGGCGAGTACGGCGCGGTGTGGTGTTGCCCCACACCCTGATCTGCGCAGTACGCAGCGAACTCCACCGAGGTGAATTCGCCGCCGCGATCAGTCCTCAGCACGCGGAGCTTCTTGCCGCTCTCGGCCTCCGCGCGCGTCTTGAACTTCTTGATCGCCGTCGCCGCTTCGTCCTTGCTCGTCAGGTTACAGCCACATGTAGCGACTACAATCATCCACAAGCAGGAGGAAGTACCGCCGACCACCGTTTATAGCAGACGTGATCGGCCTGCAGAGGTCGTCGTGGACGAGCTCGAGAGCGTCCTTCTCTGCTTCCCGACCAGGCAGCTGTCACACAGCTCGCCTCCGTGCTTGATGTGGGGTAGCCCTCGGACCATCTTCTCCAGCCGACCAAGCGCGTTGAAGCTGAGATGTCCGAACCAGGCATGCCACATCCACGGTTCCTCGGAGTGCCTTGCCGCCAGGCACACCGGCTGCTCTACCTTCAGGTCGAGCAGGTACAACCGGTTCAGGGACCTCTTCACCTTGGCAAGAAGTCGCTGCTCCCGGTCCCTGATCCTAAGGACTCCGTCCTTGATCAGTACCTCGTTACCGCGCTCATCCAGCTGACCAATGCTGATGATGCTGGAACACAACTACGGGATGTAATATACATCCGTTAGCGCGTGGTGCTCTCTGTTCTGGCACCTGAAGATGATGGTGCCGCGCCCTTGGATAGCCACCCTTGAGCCGTCACCAAACTTCACCGTACCGGTAACATCGTCGTCGAGCTCGGAGAAGGATGCCTTGGAGCCCGTTATATTGTTGATGGCACCAGAGTCCAGATACCACCGCTGCTCCTGGTCGGCGCCCACACGTCCGAGGTGAACTTGGGCGCATGGTTCGTCGAGGTTGACAGTCTTCAGGGCCTTCCCAGGTCCTTCCACCGTTGTCGCCTCTTCCTTCTCCTCGGCCTCGACGTCGTGCAGTGCACAGAACGTCGCCATCCGGATAGTGGCCTCATCATCAGCTTGCGCCAGATGAGCTTCAGCCTTTTTTCTGCTTGCGGCTTGGGCACTCCCGTGCCCAATGGCCCATCTTCCCACAGCGCCGACAGACGTTGGGGTCGACCTGCTTCTTCTTCTCCGAAGAAGCCTTGTCGCGGCACTTGCCATCACCACCGCGGCTGGAGGAGGCTGCCTTCCCGGAGTTCCTCCGAGCAGCCCACTCCTCTTCCGTCAGCAGCAGTTTGCCGCTGTCCTTCGTTGCTGTCGCCTGCTCCAGGCGCTCGTCCACCGCCCGCAGACGGCCTGTCACATCCTAAATGGTGAGGGTGGACAAGTCCAGCATCGTCTCGATGGAGAGAGCGATCTGGATGTACTTTGCCGGCACGGAGTGGAGGTACTTGGAGACCGCCTCCTCCTCGTCGATGGTGACGCCGTGGCTCTTCAGCTTGCTGATGAGCATCTGTAGGCGGAGGGAGAAATCCTCCACCGTTTTACCATCCTTAAACTTGAGGTTGGCGTACTCCTGCTTCAGAAGCTGGGCCGTCGCCTTCTTTGCTCGGTCAGAACCGATGCGCATCGCCGCAATAGCCTCCCACGCCTCCTTAGCCGAGCTCTTCATGCCCAACGGCTTCCTGTACTCCACCGGTACAGCAGCGAGGATAGCCTCCAACGCTGACATGTCATCTTCCTCAATGTCGGTGCTCTTGTCAACAGCATTCCAGAGTCGTCGGGCTCTGAGCTTGACCTTCATGGTCGCCGACCACTCTCCATAGTTGGTGCGAGTCAGCGTCGGCCAATTGGTGCCGCTGACCTCCCGCACCGTGCGAACAACGACCTCCGGTCGTGGCTGAGCAGCCACTGCTGTCGCCCATCTCCGAACCGCCCGTCATCGTCAGCGGTTAGTCTGGCGACGGCGCTTGTACGGCTCTGATACCACTTGTTGGCCCACAGGATCACCGGCTCAGGTGAGTGAACTACTCTCCAGTGTTGCCGAGCACCCACTAGCCGTGCCGACCACGAACAAGCGTTGTCCGTCCCACACACTATGGCTGGAGCTAGAAGAAGAAGGGAGAACAGAGCATGCACACACAATACAAGACACCAGCGTTGGCCGAAGCCCTGTCTGTGAGATGGCAAATCTGAACTCTCTTTACTGAGTTGCCGTGGTAGTCTATTTATACAACTTTATCCATCTAGTCCTAGTACAACGCACATGCTGTAACAGTAACTAGATAACATATAGGGTTGACTCTGCGCCGGCCTCTGCATGTGGCTACAGTGCTGCAGGTGAGCCGTGCGGTGCCGCCTTCCCTTGCTGTGTTCACACAAGATTGTAGTAGATTATCTAACAAGGAAGAGGAGAAGGAAGAGAAGAAGGAAGAGAGAAGGGAGAAGGAGCGGGGGAGGAAGAGAACGCGCCTGTAATAAATGGAGAAGGGAGAAGGGATCAGATAAGATGGTGAGGGACCTTTAGTACCGGGTGGAGGTTTCACCCGGTGCTAAAGGTTGCACATTAGTACCGGGTGAAGCCTCCACCCGGTACTAAAGGGTTCATGTGGGCCTCGTCGGCGACTAGCCATTAGGCCCGGTACTAATGCTCACTGTAGATTTCTAGCCTTTGCAATTTAAAACACACCCGTACATAGCGAACACTTTGTTCCGGACTGCAGATTTCTACAGAATCAACACCAATATATATCTTATAATATATCTTGCTTGCAGCTTCCTCCTTTGCTGTCAATTGTGGGAGCACGAGATCCATAGCAGGTTCAGATAGTTCCATGTATAGCCCTGATAATGCCAACATTGAACATGCATCTTATTACGTTGCTGGAGCAAGAACATGGGGCGTTAGCAATGTTGGGAAGTTTGTGGCAGCACCTTCAGGAACTGAAATACTCTCCAAATCACGCCAGTTTCAGAATACAACAGAACAAGAATTGTTCCAAACAGGAAGGATGTCACCATCATCTTTAAGATACTATGGCATTGGACTTGAGAATGGAAACTATACGGTCACACTTAAATTTGCAGAGATGGACATCGAACATTCGCAGACATGGAAGAGTGTAGGGAGAAGGGTTTTTGATATCTATGTCCAAGTAGGTTCCAGTTGTGCTGATAACCTGCACTTTTGGATTTTTCTTTATGATTTAGTGAAGATTTTGTTAATTTTATTTCATGTTTTTTATTAGGGAGAGCGTAAGGAGCAGAACTTCGACATAAAGAAGGCAGCAGGAGGAAAATCTTACACTGCTGTCGAGAAGCAGTATACTGTTCCTGTCACTAGAAACTTCCTTGAAATTCATCTCTTCTGGGCTGGCAAGGGCACTTGTTGCATCCCTACTCCAGGCTATTATGGGCCTTCGATCTCTGCTTTGAGTGCAACTCCAGGTACTCCCGTTGGCTATAAACCAACGTTTCTATACTGTTTAGATAATTTTCGCGGGGTCAACTTAGTTCCCATTAGGAGAATGCTGATGACTGAACCAACACTCTTACATGTATAATAGTGATACAGAATTACAGATCCACTCTGAACCGGTGCTGAATTCTCAAGTACTTTTAAAAAGTGAAAATTCATAAACACTTAACATAGGATCCAAATCCAAGATTGCATTTGTTCTAACAAGTGGACTTTTGGACAGATTTCAAACCTACAGTGTGTAATGCTGCCCAGACGAAGCGTACTAGCAAAACAGGTGTAGCTGTTGGGGTTGTGGTTGGTGCAGCAGTTTTAGGACTAGTAGTGCTCTCTGGACTCTATGTGTTGAGGCAGAAAAGTAGAAAATTGTCATTGGACAAACGAGGTACATGATATGACAGGTTCACAATGTATTCTTAAACCAGACAAAGAGGTTGTGCTCATAAACTTATCTCTTGTGATTCTTGCAGAGCTGTACAGTTTTGTTGGAAGACCAAATGTATTTAGTTACAGTTATGGTGAACTAAGGACCGCTAGTGAAAATTTTAATTCCACTAACCTTCTTGGTGAAGGAGGATACGGGGCAGTTTATAAGGTTAGTTCATCTGTACTACACATGGTGACATGGATGCAAATTTTCTATGGAATTTTAATTTGCCTCTGAAATTAAGTTTCCATGTAGATAAGTAGTGCACATCAGAGCTCTTTTTCTGTATGCAAATTGGCTAATAAACCTCTACTTCTGGGCAATGCTTCACCTATTCTTTTAGTAATATCAATCTACACACACATTCCCCATTGGTTTTCCCTTTTGTTGCTCTCTACTAGTTCCTTTTATAGTTGCCCCACATGGTTAGCTTGGCAGTCTCTTTATTTTGTCCATTATATGCGTGATAATGAGGTGTCTGAAACTTACATTCTTGAAAAATGCCACATTTTCGCAGGGTAAACTGACCGATGGAATGAGAGGGTTATCTTGCACACATTATCTTACTTGACACCAATTTCAACCCTAAGATCTCAGATTTTGGACTCGCTAAACTTTATGATGACAAGAAGACGCATGTCAGCACAAAAGTTGCCAGTACATTGTAAGCGCGTTTGCATCTTGCCCCATTTATAGTAAGTAGGGAATGAGAGGGTTATCTTGCACACTGGAGTACACCTTTACATTATTGCAGAAAGTTTATACTTTAGTTTGATTAATCTGTGAGCTAATAACAATATTTTTTTGCTCTTCTATCAAGTGGTTATCTAGCACCTGAGTACGCCATGAGAGGTCATGTAACGGAGAAAGTTGATGTATTTGCTTTTGGCGTGGTCATATTGGAAGCAATAGCTGGAAGGCCAAACTATGATGATAGGCTTGACGAAGACAGGGCCTATCTTTTAGAATGGGTAAAGTCACTATAAAATTTAGACCCAGGTCAAATTGCAGTTTTTCATGTGGTAACTAGGAATATATATATATATGATAGGCACTTATATTACATAAAAATTAAATCTCATGAGCATTCATAAGAATTTTTAATCAAAAACTTAACCATAATTTTGACATCATTGAATTATATAAAAAAAGATGCAGTCAGATAAATAAGCTATGTACAGAATGCTAGTTGTTGCTAGGCACTTATTTAGAAGAGGGAAAGTTTTGTTACGCCCTCGGACGCAGAATATAAGTTGTTGATCTAAAGATCTATGCTCCAGTGTCCCTCTTCTAAAATGTGCAACAGTTTTAGCTTTGCGCAACACTACATAAAGAATTATTTAGATTAACAACATAAAAATTTAAAAGTTGTTCATATACTAAATTCAACATAAAAATGCTATTTATTTGAGACAAATACATTTTTCGTAGAAATTGCTAGTCACGGTATCACTTATAAGACCTTGTTAGTATCTAAGCAGCTAACACAGCGTTTTAAATTTTAAAATGGCAGCATTATGTGGATCTTAGAATTTGGAATCATATGAAAAAAAAATAGTTTGTTGCATTCCTACAACAGTGAAGTTCTCCTACATGCATCAGCCCTATGCTTTCAGGTCTGGCAATTGTACGAGGAAGGCCGTCCTCTCGACGTCGTGGACCCGAGTCTCATGGAATTCGTCAGCGACGAGGTTCTCCGTGCCATCCGCGTCGGCCTCCTCTGCATCCAGAGCTCACCTCGGCAGCGGCCATCCATGTCAAAGGTGGTGTCCATGCTCACAGAAGACATCGAAGTGCCAGAGGCAGTCACGAAGCCCAGCTACGTCACCGAGTGGCAGGCGAGCTCGAGCAAGAGGGAGGTGGCCAGGTGGGCATGTCGGCATCGTCGTACCTGAGCTCCCTCATCGAGGAAGGCCGGTGATGATGGTCAATGATCATCAGATTCAAATAAGCTTCTGTCAAGCAACGGATTATATTATTTGGTGTGTGCACTTTGAAGACGGTGTGATAGTCCTCAGTGTTTTGAATTAAACGCCTGCGTTGGCACGTGTGCTTACTTGCTTTGCTGGTCAACAGATAGTCGATCATCATGTGCTATATATGCATGCAGTTGCCCGTCAGCCCATTCTACCACTTGTGCATAGGTATGCAACATACTAGTTGCGTTACGATTGCACTTAAGAAGAGACTTGATATTGAAGCATTAGGAATTATCAATTATATCAACGGGCAGAAAGATAGCAGTTAGGGCTCTGCCAAAGCTCTAACGTCCGATCCAATCCAGGCATTTGCGTCGGACACAACCTCTCAGCCGTTGGATCTTATCAGTACAAAAGGTCGATCCAGTATAACTGTTCGGGTTGAATCTCTACGTCCAGTTTCACCAGGAAGCTTTGTTTCTTAGGATAAGTGCGCGACTGCTTACAACGGATGGTCGTATGCTAGTACGCGAGTGTGTGCGCTGTGTATGCCTGAGAGTCGAGACAGAACGAGAGCGCCCGCCTTCCTTATATAGGTTGGGGACCGGACAACGGTGAGAAGAAGGGTCCCTAGTGGTCGGGGCTCCGGCGAGGAGTGGTCGGCGTCTCCTTCAGGTTTTGCTAGGAGTGGGGCCTCCTCAGCCTTCGTCTCATCATGGCTTCTGTTGGCTTGTCGGATGCTGTGAGGCAAGGTGAGCACTGTGCGTCGTGGGCGGGCGCTGTGCCGGTCGTGGGGATACTGTGCCGATCGTGGCAGGCATCCCATCTGTCAACTCCGTTACTTGGGCATGACTTGCGCGGCGCACCCGCACGCCATACGAGGGGTCGTCGTGCAGCCGCCTAGATGGGGCGACCCCTCCCGATAGATCGCGCGCAGCGGTAGGCCGCGACGGCTGATCCACCGGTCCAAAGCCGGCGCGTCTGACCCCTAGCTCAGAGTTTATGTGCCGGCCCTCACCTGCCCCGGCGAGGTTGGACGGATACGATCCGCTCCCTTCCACCCACGAGGTCGGGGGATGGGCTGCCTTCACTTTGGGCTATAGTCTAGGCACCCGTCACCCATGATTACTTTGTGGAATTGGTTCGAATTCCTACAAGCTATCCATCACAAACATTTCATTCCGAGAAATCTGGAACATGAAAGTCTTGAATCAATGAATGATTAAGTAAAATTGCATAAACCCTTCATTAGTCACTTTGAGCTTGACACTGTGCCACATAAGTTATTTTGTTGCAAATGTCCACCCCTACCCAGTTATGTTGCTAACACCCCCCCGAACACGTGCTTAACAGCACCAATGCACACGTATTTATGGGATGCTTTCCCAATTTTACCATGATTAAAGGTACATATCAGTCATCGGCACGTGTTAATTCACTTTTGGCTTTGAGGGAAAAGGGAGAAATGGTTGCCTTTTTTGGGGCCCTGGACGAGACATATATCTCTATTCGCAATATGATCGACTTCTCGGCTTCAAGTATCTTCTGTCCCTCAATCACCTTGGTTGACTTTCTTTCAATATTACCGTGTGTTTGGTTACTGGGTCGATGTGGGTTGGAACAGGCTGGGTCGATGTGGGTTGGAACAGGCTCGACCCCATCGTCCCGCGTTTGGTTGGAAATGGAGTGGGTTGGGTTCGTCCCCGATGGGGAATATTTCTCGTAGATGCGGGTTGGAATGGTCCGCCAAAAACTAGCGGACCACGCCGACCCGCATCGCTCCCCGTCACGCCATCTCGCTCCGTCGGGTGCAGGAGAAGGTGGACGCTTGGGCGGCGGCCGGCGGCCGGTGCAGGAGAGAGGGAGGGAGGGGCGGCGGCGGAGGCCGGCGCTGGGGAGAGGGAGGGAGGGCCGGCGGTCGGCACAGGAGAGAGGGAGGGGCGTCGGCGCGGCGCAGGAGAGAGGGAGGGGCGGAGGCGGCTGGGGAGGTGGGGGTGGCGTGGAGGCGGTCGAGGAGGCGGCGACCGGCGCCGGGTCGGCCGGGGAGGAGGCGCCCAGAGTCGGGGCGGGGAGGAGGGAGCGGGCGGGGAGGAGGCGAGGGCCGGCGCGGGGAGCAGGCCGGCAGGGAGGAGCAGGCAGGCCGGGGAGCGGCCCGGCGGGGAGGAGCATGCCGGTACGGGGAGCAGTGTCCGGCGCGGGGTTGAGAAAGAAGATAACGTGGGAAAAAATAAAAGAGGATGATAGGTGGGGCCCATAGCTGACAGGTGGGCCCATTGTTAACGGTCAGCCTGTTCGGCTGGGCCAGCTTGTTCGTGAGGAAGTACTGCTGGCTGGTTTGTGTAAGAGAAAAATATTGTTATGACTGAAATTGACAGAAATTTGTTGCAGATAAATCAGTTTGACAGTCCGCTACTTTGTGCAAGGTAGTGTGGCCGAACTTATATGTGGGCCCCATGTCAGGAGTCGGACCCTAAAACTAAACCTCGTGTTCACACCTTAAAATTTTAGAGAAATTGATCGAAATTTGCTGGAGGTGAATCATTTTGACAGTCCGCTACTTTGTACGCCCTCCGTCCACAAATGATAGGCGCATTTGTACTGGGGAAAAGTCTTTCAAAGTAGATTTTGGCCCCGTTCGCTTGGAGGAATCTGGATAAATCTAGAGGAATTTGTGAGATGAAAACACTGTTCCGGATGAAAAAATAAGCGGATCAAGCCGGATTTAAGGACACGCGAACGGGGCCAATGACTCTTAATTTCTCTTATAATATAATGTCAATCGCTAAAAACTCAATGTCATCTCAAAATAAATTTAAGTACAAATATATTGATGCAAAATTTATATAATAAATATGATTATAATTTAACCAATTGTTGGTCAAAGTTTGTAAAGTTTGACTTTTGATTGGTCAAAATACGCCTATCATTTGTGGAGAGAGGGAGTACAAGGTAGTGCGGCTAGACTTATATGTGGGCCCCATGTCAAGAGTCGGATCCTAAAACTAAAACCTCGCGTTCACACCTTAGTCGGACGCTAAAACTAAAACCTCGCGTTCACACCTTAGTCGGACCCTAAAACTAAAACCCCGCGTTCACACCTTAAAATTTTAAAGAAACTGACAGAAATTTGTTGCAGATGAATTAGTTTGACAGTCCGCTACTTTGTGTAAGGTAGTGCGGCTGGACTCATGTGAGCACCACATCAAGAGTCGGACCTTAAAACTAAAACCTCTAAAACCTCGTGTTCACACTTTAAAATTTTAGAGAAATTAATCGAGATTTGCTGGAGGTGAATCATTTTGACGGTCCGCTGCTGTGACTGAATCCACATATAGATCCGATGTCAACAGCCGAAACTTGAAACTTAAACCTATGAGTTAAACCCATACAAACTCAAACAAAAAAAGAACTACTTCCAACCCATCCCAACCCGCATTTGCGATATACCCATCCCGCCCCAACCCATTAGATACTAAAACCCATTTTAACCTATTCAAACACACCCCGCGTCACAGCCCGCCCCATAAAACCCATTTCGACCCGCCCCGTTAGCAGACCTACGGATATCCTCACCTTTTGAAGTTTCTGAGTGCCAAAAGATCTGATTCCTGCACAGTCCAGCATTAGCGTCCACGCCCTCGAGCGCACCTCCACGTCTGGCGACCTCCCGCCCGTCCACGCGCTCGACCTCTGCGGCCCCGCCGGTGGCAGCTGGTTTGGAGAGAGACGAGGAGCACCAATACTGCGATCGTTCTGGGCGGGCGGCGGCGCGTCCGAGCGAGGCAATTGATTTGATCGAACCAGAGATAGAGAGGTACGTACATAAAGCAAGCAAGGGGTAGTTTAGTCCTTTCACAATCCAGTAAATGGAAAAGAAGGAAATAAACAGCATGTTTGCTTGTTGGTTTCAGCCAAACCAAACTAACTAGCCAATGTTGTTTTCTCTCAAAAAACCAGCACCAGCCAGCCCAAACTAGCACCAGCACCAACCAACGAATAGGCCCAAAATCATTAAAGAGGCATAATGTCAAGTAAATCAATGTGTCAATGTTGTGAGTGTAAAATTTGCGAAACCAATCTTTGGAGTGTCAAATATGCGAAGCCACATTTTTGGGTATCAAAAATACAAATTTCAACAGTAAACATGTCCATTTCTAAGGGGTCGTCGCGAAATCTCCCTCAATATCAAAGAAGGCTAGCGTCCCAAGGCTCCAAGCTAAGCGACAGCAGACCGAGGGAGGGAGATGAGGTTAACACGGAGTTCTTCCCTCCGTGGCTACGTGCTCTCCGCGCTGCTTCTCCTAGCTGCGTCGGCCAAAGCTCAGCAAGCACCAGCTGCGAGGACAGATCCAACTGAAGGTAAGTCCTATTCAGCGCTCCTGCGATAAAAGGATAATTTTCGAGGTGTTCTATCTGATTAGCTCGATTGTATATTTGTAATTAAGTTTGTTCTTGCCTTTCGCTTTGTTTCTTTTCCTGGGAGGCGCCTCTCAGTTTGAGGTTGCTGTCAGCAATGTCCTCACGTTCTTAAGATAATATCCCCTGCAAGTAAGTTCTTGAAAAATCAGCTCGATCGAGTCGAATTCCTACCGGCATCATGGCCACCTTTGCTGTTGGAATTTCATCTCCCTGATCTGTACAATCCTGCTACCGTTCGTTCAAAAGGGGAAAAAAAAACTTCAAGCATGATCTGTTCAAGCCATCCCTGATCTGTTCCAGAGAATCATCTGCCCGATTCGTCCAAGAAACTATCTCGTTCCAAATGTTTCGGGTAGAAGGGCAACAGGGGCGCGTTTAATGGTATGATATTATGGTTTTTGGCTTTTTGACCTCGTCCATGCTTTGCCCACGAATAAGTCAGAAACTCTTGTGGTTCAACGCTAGTCCCACGTGAGGAAACTTGAACAGAGCAAGCCCACGAGGTGAAATTGGGGGTAGGTGGCAGGATAAGATCCAAGCGAGAAAATATTAAGGAAAATACACAGTAATATTGATCAATACATTATTCAATATTAAGTAGTAGAAATATTAAGTCACCCAATTTCTATATCAGTACCATATCAGCAATCTAATGATGTGGCAGGTGATTTAACGAAGAAAGAGCGAGAAATCGTTTTTCTCCGGTGAGAAACCGAGTCGGCTCGCGCACCAAAGTGCGTAGATACCGCCGAAATCGCGTTGGGCCAGCGTTAGTTATGGTTTCCTTCCTCGTTTTCTTGCCCATCTTCCCGATCCGCTGTGCGCCGCGACCCACCCCCAGGTTCCGTGCGCGCCTGCTACTGCCGCGTCGCGACCCTCCCTCACGCGCGCGCACGGAGCCTCCGCCAGCAATTCCCCACGCGCCGCTTCTAAGGATCGATTGGAGAAGAAAGGCGTACATCAAAAGAAATCGAGGAAGCCCTCTTCAAGTTCCAGACGAGTTGGTGCTGCTGCTGCAGTTGCTTCTACAGGCGCTAGTTCTCCGTCCGTTGCTTCAAGCGCCACTTTGGCACTTTGTCCAGGCACACTGATCGAACCAGCACTCATCTCGCTCCTGCATTTTGGCCTGCATCGTCTCTTGGCGGCTCTTTCCAGGTTGATCGATCTTATAGCACCTGTGAATGAATTTATTTTGTTTCAATGGCTCGGACTGTGGCAGCATGAAGGCTACGCGGTTGCTTGCCACAGCTGACCGAGCTTTGTTTGTGCTGCTTGCGTGAAATCTTGAAATTTTGCTCTACGTAGAAACTACCCATATAAACTATGGGTTGGGGAGATTAGATCTACAAGTGGCATCTTGATGATATGTTAACATAGAAACTATGGTTTGTGACTGCACTAAAAATCAACCTTCTTTAGAGAGCTGGTTGTTGACTTGTTGTGCAGTTTCAACCACCTTATGGCTGCTTGTCGTGGTAGTTACTTGCTAGTAGTCGTTTTCATTGCCTGTCTCCGGTGGAGTCGTCTAAGACTAATTCTTTACTACTCCTTCCGGTCATCAAGTATGACGAGTCGTCTTTAAATGGCCAAATATAGTAAGAATAATTTGATAGGTAACTTTCTCATATGTACGTCTTAAAAAACACCGGCGACGCCGCAGATCAAGACGGCGACGATCCCGAGGGGCCCCGAGCATTCACAAGGGCGTTCCGAACACTCCAGTGACCCCGTGGTTTCAAAATCATCGGGGTCGAACCCTACGAGGGACGGATGAACCCCACACAGTGGCTGCAGGCTTATGCCACTGCTTTGCACGCCGCCGGGGGAGATACCAGCGTCATGGCGAATTATCTTCCCGTCATGCTCACGCCAACTGCGATGAACTGGCTGACGAGCTTGCCCCGGACTCCATCGGATCCTGGGAAGAGCTGAAGAAGGTCTTCACCGACAACTACATGGCTACGTGTACTCGGCCGGGCACCAAGCACGATCTCAACCGCATCTATCAAAAGCCGTCCGAGCTCTTTCGTAGCTACATCAGACGTTTTTTCGAGATGAGGAATTCTATTCCTAACATCACGGAAGTTGAGGTTATCACCGCCTTCGTCTGAGGATTCCATCACCGCGACCTCCGCTCCAAGTTCAATCGCAAGCTGCCAACGGGGATTGGCGAGATGATTATGACCGCCAATTAATACGCCGACGCCGAAGAGGCTGAAGTACGATTCAACGAGGATGCGGGCACTCACCGCCCAGCTCGCCGTAACGACGAACGTCCTGATGACCGGCGCCACAGCGACCGCTGCTACGACGACCTCAGTCACCAGCGGGACAGTGGACGTGATCGGCCAGAAGGATTCAAATCTGGTCAATATCGCCGCCACCGACCAGACCACATCGTCGCCGTCGTCGAAGAACCTCGAGCCAAGCGCAACTACGACGAGCAGTACAAGAAGATCCTTGAAGGCCCGTGCACTCTTCACAAAAACGCCAAGCATAAGATGAATGACTGCCTCGGCTGGGCTAAGGAATTCCAGACTAAAAAGGCAGACGACGACAACAACGACGGAGCCGGAGGCCGCCGACCACCTGGGGGCAACAACAACGCCTTCCAGGATCACGACAAAGTGGTCGCCACCATCTTTGGGGGCCTCGCCGCCGCCGAGAACAGAAGAGATCGGAAGCTCACCGCTCGTCGGGTGCTCGCTGTCAACGCGGAAGACGCCGTCACCAACCCTAGCTATCGCCCCTGGTCCGAGGTCCCCATCACCTTCAGCAGGGCCGATCAGTGGGCAGATATCCCTTACACAGGGTGTTTCCTCCTCGTCCTCGACGCGACCGTCCAGAAAGTGCTTTTCAGAAAAGTGCTCGTCGACGGCGGGAGCGCTCTGAACCTCCTCTTCGCCGGAGCCCTAAAAGAGCTAGGCCTTGGGATAGGAGACCTCACACCCACCGACTCCTCCTTCTGGGGCGTGGTACCTGGCAGGGCATCCAAGCCATTTGGAGAGATCACCCTTCCAGTACAGTTCGGCACGGCCAGCAACTACCGCGTCGAACACATCAACTTCTATGTCACCGACTTCAACACCGCCTACCACACCATACTTGGTCGGCCAGCTCTGGCCATACCGCACTATGCCTATCTAGTGCTGAAGATGCCTTCGCCTGCAGCAGTCCTGGACCTGCGGGCCAGCCTCCATCGCCTACGCCTGCGAGACAGAGAGTCTCGCCCTCGCCAAAGCCACCGACCTCCATCTAGATGGCCAGCGTGGTCACCGACGCCAAGACGGTGCCCACCGATGACATGGAGACACCATCGCTGGAGCCTCCTCGCGCCTCCACCAAGTCCAAAGAAACGAAGGAGGTCGGCCTCAGCCTCGATGACCCCTCCCATGAAGATTGGGGCTCACCTCGACCCCAAATAGGAAAGCGCGCTCGTCTCCTTCCTACGTGCCAACGCCGACGTGTTTGCTTGGAAACCTGTAGACATACCGGGGGTACCACGGGAAAAGATCGAGCACTCCTTGAATGTCTCGCCGACCGCCAAACCGATCAAGCAGAAACTCCGACGATTCGCGCCAGACAAGAAGGAGGCTATTAGGGTAGAAATAAAATGGCTCCTAGCTGCCGGATTTATAAAAGAAGTGTATCATCCTGAGTGGTTAACAAACCCTGTTCTCATTCAAAAAAAGAATAAAGAATGGAGAATGTGCGTTGATTACACTGATCTCAACAAACACTACCCTAAAGACCCCTTCGGTCTGCCTCAAATAGACGAGGTTGTAGACTCCACCGCCAGCCGCGAACTGCTCTCCTTCCTCGACTGTTACTCCGGCTATCACCAGATATCCCTTAAGGAGGACGACCAGATCAAAACTTCGTTCATCACGCCTTTCGGTGCGTATTGCTATACCACTATGTCCTTCGGACTCAAGAACGCCGGGGCAACCTACCAAAGGGCCATCCAGGTGTGCCTCAATCAACAGACAGGCCGCAACGTCGAAGCTTACATCGATGATGTGGTCGTCAAGTCCAAGACCGCCGACAATCTTATCGTTGACCTCGAAGAAACGTTCGCCAATCTAAAAAGGTACAGATGGAAGTTAAACCATTCAAAGTGCATCTTTAGAGTTTCGTCTGGCATACTCCTGGGCTACATCGTCAGCGCTTGTGGCATCGAACCCAACCCCGACAAGGTCTCCGCCATCACCAACATGAAACGGCCACCTTGCGTAAAGGACATACAGAAGCTTACAGGTTACATGGCTGCTCTCAGCCGCTTTATATCCCGCCTCGGCGAAAAAGGGCTACCGTTCTTCAAACTCCTCAAGGCTTCCGAGCGCTTCTCGTGGTCGAAAGAGGCAGATACAGCTTTCGAGCAGCTCAAGTTGTTTCTAACGAAGCCTCCGATCATGACGGCGTCTTGACCAGACAAAACCCTACTGATCTACATCGCCGCCACTTCTCACGTCGGTAGCACAGCTATCGTCGTCGAGCTCAAGGAGGCCAGACACGCCTATAAGGTCTAGCGTCCGATCTACTTCATCATCGAGGTCCTTAACGAGTCCAAAACTCGTTATCCTCAGGTCCAGAAGCTGCTATACGCTATTCTGATCACGTCGCGCAAGCTCCGCCATTACTTCGAGTATTACAAGATCGTCGTGGTCACCGAGTTTCCTCTGGGGGACATCCTTCGCAACAAAGAGGCCAACGGACGCATTATCAAGTGGGCTGTCGAGCTCGGCACTTACTCCATTAAATTCAGAAGCAGGCCTACCATCAAGTCACAGGCACTCGCTGACTTCATCGCTGAGTGGACCGAGATCCAAGAGCCCATCCCCGCTACTTGCCCCGAGCACTGGGTGATGTACTTCGACGATGCCCTTAACATTAACGGTGCTGGTACTGGAATCTTATTCATTACGCCGACCAAAGACAAG